GTTTTACAGTTTTTGTAGAGAATTATGAAACCTGAATTCATTATGGAATTACGTTATCAATATAATACTACGTTAATATACTACTGGTCGATAATAAGGTTGATTAAATATGAATACTAGTTTTCGCACGCGATACTATCCGCGCGTATTTATAAAAATAACTTTGTATGTAACGTATGAGCACTTCCAGATCTAATTTTACATCTATGACAAATTGCATCGTGATCTATTCAGCATTTATAATAGTAGTATACCAAAGCTATTAGGTATACATAGTAGATTCTATTTTCAATATTCTTCATACAAAAATTTAGTTTACTTGTTTCATCTTTCAGAGATCCTAAAGTAAAACTGTTTGCAGTGTTGTAGTGCACCGTTTTATTCTGAGATTACCATGTTCTTACATTTTATAATTGTAATAAATAAATTTATAGTACCACATAAGTAGTCCGCACCCCAACATAAGCATTAACAACATCGTATCGGAAAATTTTATTACTTCCATAACAATATTGTTGGTTTTACAAGTTTACACTAACGTTAAGTTTTACGAGATTTTTGATGGACATTGGTGTACGATGAATTTAAAATATAGGTCAATCTGTATACATAGACCTAGGAGAAGGTTTCTATTGTTTATTCTCCTTTGAATTATTTTAACCATTTGTATAATTACAACTATGATTATTTTAAATATAGTGTTATGTATATTTAAAAAATATATAACATTCTAGCTTGCGCCCGCAACTCCGTCCGCGTGGAAATAAAAAAAACAAAAGTGAGTAGCCTATGTGTTCTTCCAGACTATCCTCTACAACTATGCGAAATGTCATCGAAATCGGTTTAGCCGTTTAGGCTACAAACTCTAATAAAAATCCATCTATCCGTCCATCCATCTAAACTTTCGCATTTATAATATTAGTATGAAGTATGATTGGGCAACATACTTAACACTTATTGAAGAGTAAAAAATAAAGAAGGTGTTTCCAATGGACTGCCTGTAAGTGACTATTATTTTCGATAGAACATCACGTCGACAATACTTATAATCTTACAAACGTGCTTTTAAACAATGCATCCTGCAAGGGACACAGAAAAACATTTTTTACATCGTAACTAACACCACTTGGTCACCAGATGGTCAAATCAGTGATTTGACAGATATATGAGTACGAAAGATAAGGTTCATGGGTGTTTTATAGTTTGCAAGAGATATTATCTACAAACCATGTACCTATTTCGTTCTTTTACATTAGGTCAGCTCAGTATCTGTTTGTGATATCGTAGAAATAGATCAGACTCTTACTCGTATAGAAAGAATATTTATAATATAGGTATACGTTATGCTTTACCTAAATAAAGTATTTTTCTTAATTGTAACAAATGTTAATTTCATCAATATTTGTTAGTAGGTAATTCTGATCTCGTCATAGTATATACACTCTCATCTACGAACAAGAAACTTGAACATGTCCACATACATCAGCAGCTCGTGGTCATCAAGTTTCGTAAACATTGTTGGCAATCCTGATAAATACATACGTTCAGACGTTCTTTGGATAATGTACGTCCAGAACTCATCAAAACAACCGTTTGCAGCTTCCGTAAAACATCGGACTGCGCTAGAGTCGGACAGCTAACTCACACCGGCCCGCACACGGCCGG